AGCTTCGTGTTGTTTCGACAGGGTTTCAGGTATTTGGTAATGTTCAATGAACTGTATTCTAGCCACCTGACTGAAGTAATTCCGGTCAGTTAGCGGTTCCTTATGAATTTGTATGTCCCATGAATTCAGGGTTTCTGAATACATGAAGGTATCATATTACCAGGTCGGAGACCAGTTAGTTGCGGTGTGACGAGTAATAAAGAAAAAGTCTAAATGCTTATAGTAAATCTATTTTCATGAAGAGGACACAATCGCCTTATTAAAAACATTCATTCTTTATAACCAGATGTACCAGTGATTGTTTAACTGTACTTTTGCTTATAACACTCTTAACGCTCAAACTTCCGTTTAGGTTGCTGCCATTTTCACTCCCCGTCTCTGTACTTTCGCCCCTCTTTCTGGCACGATTTCCGTATTCTTTTGATACCACTAAATCGCCAGTAAATATTTTCTTTACTATGAAATAACCCTTCTTCTCTGTGATGGGCTTGTAGTTGCTGTAGTGGCGATCATAGTCAATCTCAACACGATCACCACTAAATACTAACGAAAATATTTTAGACTTGAACCGACATGTTCAGTAATTGGTAGCAGAGAATGTTTGATAGGATAGAACTATAAACAGAGAAGATAAAACTGAAATTATAATAAGCCAGACGGAATAAGCTAGTAATCTGAGGAAATGACAAAAACAGCAACAAGCAAGTTTCAAGACACAAAACAGACACAGTTGCTTCAAGCGGGAGATTAAAATCTGTATATGAGTATGTATTTGTCAAGTTCTTCCTTGAAGCCTGAGGGAACTTTGGTCACTTCGGCTCGGAAAATATTCCAGTTTCGGACAAAACTTCATGAGATAAGGTGGGGATGTACCTGGGCGTTCGTTCTTTGATGTGAACTTTCACAAGAGTTGACTTGTCAGGCGCTGTGGTGATCTTTTTGTAAGATGTTTTTGTTGGAATAGTTCAGTGTACTTAGTATGTTGTATACCGTTATCAGATCACTTTTGATTGGCAAAGCATGGACAGCATTTATAGTTTTGATGAACATCAGGAAGTCAGAACTTCTGTCAACCAACACCTAAGTCGCAATTATAAAAACCACCGTCAAGTTGTTTGTCCAATTGGCAAATTATGTCAGAATCTCATAAAATAAAGTTAATATCACTTCACAACTTCGTTGAGTACAAATATGAATCTTGTGCGTGATGTGATTTTGCAATAACTGTGTACAACAGACTCAGTAATTTAGTTAGCAAATGGACATGCAGTACATACGGTATGAATGCTGAATATTTGAAGAATAACATCATCGGTCTTCTGATATGTCTGCAGAGGAAAATGTCAACAACCCTAAAAAAGGCAGTTTAGTCGTGTATGGAAAAATAAAATTTCGCTGGGGGGTAAAGGAGGCGGTGTTCGATGACTGAGTTTCACTATATTATTGAAGGTGTTGGATTCCCTCAGTAAAATTGTGCGCCGTAGGATAACGTTTCCAAATGCAACTGTGAGCCGTCAGCTAGGCCAAAAACATTCAAGTATTACAACCAAGGATCCTCAACAGACTATGTCTTGAGTGGAAGTCATTTAATGGACCCGTTTAAAATCTACTCCTGAAATTCTGCAAAAGGTAGGTTAAAAGTGGGAGAACGTGGACTCATATCTGGTTATTTGACAAGGAGACGTCAGACAAAGAGACCAAGAAACTTTGGGATCCGTTCAGAGTTTGTTATGATTTCCTAATCATCATGATTATCAAGGAGTTTTCAAACCTTTCTCTCAGTTTGCAGGAGAGAGTGAAACAGAAAGCTCAAACACCATCAAATTGAACTACTCACGGTTACACAGATTACCTGGTGGAAGAATGCCACACATCAAAACCATCCAAGACTGCTTTGTGTAATATCTACTAGCAATAATGATGTGGATGATGTCCTATTGGCTGGCCACTTGCTGAAATTCGAAGGGGATATGAGGATACTGCAGAATGCACCATATTCGGAACGCCGTATGATGCGCAACATCCCGAATGAGGCTCATGAAGCATCTCGTGAAATATCATTAAACAGTTTGTCTCAGAATATAGGGCCTCCGATAATTGAGTCCCTGATGTTCAAGAGTGGAGGCCCATCAAACAGTCTTTGAAGATAATTAATATATTGACCCAACAAGTTGTACGACTAGTTAAGAATGACGGGGATCGTAGACCCCGATTATTAGAAATAACTATCCATCCTGCCCCAATGGCAGTTTCCACTTTTGAAGCATTTCGTACAATTTTACCCAGGTGACCAAACTGAATTTACACGCATTTAGAAAGCTTCTGTGATGCAGGAACAGAACGCAAATTATATTGGAATTAACCATTCCATTTGTAGACTATCAAGCGCAAGAACAAAACGTGGAACTGTCCACCTGGCAAGCCATGTGTATTTAGGTTGACTGTTCACTCACATGAGGTTCATCTGGACAGATAGGACAAATACTTTTATGTTTCATATCAGAAGTACAAACTGCTTATACAAGAGCGCTTCAGACTAACCACTGCGACGGGAAATTGGGTTGGGAGGCAAGGTGGCCCTGTACCTCCAATCTCGCTTAGTAGCATGTCAAGTGTACATTCAAAATTTTATTAATCCTAATGAATCTGTATGGTGTTCAGTGGGATCTAAGATCCCAAGATGTCTAGTTGGAGTCCTTTTCATTAAAGCCTACCACTAGCACTAAATACGACAAGCGCATGCCGGAGGGATTATCCTACCCATCTTGTCTTCCTTGGGTCAAATTTGCTGACTAAATATACTATGAAGGCAAGAAAACCATTAAAGTTCGATTTTTCAATCTCGTTGGTGAACTGAGTTAAAATATCTTCTTAACAATACGAAAAGCTAATTTTGGCACCCTTAAAGGACACGCTACAGCCGGTGGACTAGGAAGTCCACCTGTAACTTTAGCCTTTGTTTGGTTTGCGTTTAGCCCGAAGGTACCATGTGTGCTAGGGGGGATGTGAGGAGCAGAGCATGAGATTATCTGGAAAAAGAAAGTACAAGAGAAAAAGATGAGCCGACGACTCAGTAAGCACATAGAATTCACTTACATGCAATATACGAATAAGTAGACAGCGACCAGATATAAAGCCAGAGTGAGATTAAGACAAACTGATAAACGAATCTAGGAGTTGATAGAATTGGGTTTCGAAAGCGTTACACACCCTTAGCTTGAAGTGGGCTCTCTCTAGAATTCATTGTTGAACAAAATACTAGAAACGTGTCTGTCCCCAGAGGTTACAAGTGAATCCAGAAGGTACTACTGTGCGGATTATAAATTATCTGGTGACAACAGCATATATAGGCTGCCGAAAATAACAAGGAACAAATTTAAAAAGTTGCTAAGAGATGAACGTCAATATCATATCAACTTAATAGACAATTTTATCTCCTACTCGAAGGGTTTATTGCATCATACAGTCTCTCTTCGACAAGTCAACGCCAGAGTTTCCCTCTTGTTACGTCCTAATGGCCCAACCAACAACAATGGTGATGCTGAAAAGCTTCTGACATAACAGTATTTTCAAACACTCCAACAGTCGCGCACGATCTACACTAACAAGAGAGTCACCAGTAACCTAAGAGGAATTTCAGAAGTGAACTTTAGTTCTGGTCCAGTTTGTCAAAATGTTTATCATCCAAACAATAACATGGTTCACTCTGCTATATTTAGAGTAGTGGCTTCTATCTTCGATTATCATGGTTTACGCGAATATTTACGATTAATTAACTTCCTTTTTCCTCATCGACGCAGATTTTGGAACTAGCACTCTTTTATAACCAAGCTTCTGATTGTGGCGGACAGATGGACAAATATTCTTGATAGCAAAGAGAAGTTTGGCATGATAAAACTTGGGTTTTGAGAAGCTTTTTATAGAGTCAGTCATATGTTTCATCAAAAATCTTGATAAGCTCACCAGATAACCCTTAACAGACCATAAACTTGATACCCAAATAATCAGCTTTCTGGGGTCATAGTCACCTTTAAATTTTCTAAGGCTACAAAATCTTTTCCTTGTCAGGTGTTGTGTCGGTTATTACTTTACACTAACGACATTAAACTTTGGAGAGGAGTTTGCAGCCAAGACAATAAGTTGGATTTTCGGGAGCATCTAACTCTACTTCAAAGTTCACCATGTGACAGCAGACTAACTTTTACCTTTTTTTAATGCAAAGTAGTTCTTCTGAAATATATTATGGGCTATGTATGCAACTTTGGTAACTGTCTTTGAAGGTGTACCGTGTTCAAAAAGTCCCTTGAGCTATTGTCTTACGCTAACGGTCATATTATTATCTTTTTAAAGCACCTCTCACTGGGAACGTTAAAGCGCTTGTTTGGTTGGATGTGCCACCTACACTTAAACAGCTTTATTGGGCCTCATTCAGAATTTGAAAATATGGTGTTTCTTCTCCAAATCCAGAAGGATGAGAACACTTTGAAATATATCCTAAGGATGGCCACGAAATTAGTTCGAGGACTCAAGTTCAAATCCTATGAAGAGCACCTCAAATCCCTTGATCTTTACTTGTGAGTTCAAAAGTCTCAGAGCTCATACAACGTATCGTATAATCCGAGAAACTCCTGAGAATCCCCTGAAATTCTTACTTAAGTTCAGCCTCAGCAAAATCTTTGGGAGAAATGCCCAGGAACTAGAAGCAAAAAAGTTGATTCCCTGAAGTCCTTCGAGAAGAAACTTGAAATTTTAAGAACTCACATCAACATTTCACTAAGATTTACCCTCCCTCTTTATCATTGTGTGTACCTAGGTTCCTATCTAATACGTAAGCCTTTCAAGCGGAATTTTCCTTGATTCTGTCTAATACATTCTGAACCATACGAAATAACCGAGACACCATTGTCTACGTATAATGCAAAAAATGAGTCTCAACGGCGCTGTGCATTTTAAGAATTTCAAAATAAAGACAGGAGATTTTGACTTCTTTTAGAGTTATGCACAATTCATTTTCATGTTTCCAAGATTGTAGAATAATGATAATATATATTCAGCATTGGATGCATATATAGCGGAAATACGGTGAATGGGCTACATGGTTTCGGGTCGGGTTCTAAGTGCTTTTGTCTTTGGAGTCGGGTTTTTGTGTGGATATTATTTTCACATTTTTCATCTAAAGTATCTTCGTAAAAAGCAAAACTTCCTCCAGAAACGTCTCAAAGACGTTGAAGACAAACTGAGTAGTTATTGAACCTCTAACGTGTCGGTTAGCTGTTATTTCGTCTCTCTATGTCCTCCCAAGTTAAGGAGGATTTATATGGTGTATCATGGTCAAATCCAGCGTGGAGTCACTTTCTCTGTTCAGCAAACGTTTTAGACTATTTCTGTGACCTTTCCAATCCCTTCTACGATAGGCAGTGCAATAACGAGGTTATTCGGATGCAAAGGCTCCATCCTGAGCAGTTGTTATGCATGACAGGTGTTGAGTTTTATCTACATCATGCCCAAGTAAGATCTTTCAACCCGTAACTTTTTAATCGCAAACTTTTGGACAACAGCCTAGTTAGCTTCATACATACGAGTCCTTCAAGAACTTCTCACGTAGTGTGTTCTAAAATGATTTTATGTTTATCAGCAAACAATATGTCTTTCACTCAGACCTCGCCGACTGATCAGTACGTTACTCGTTCCAAAGCGCAGAATCAAGCAGACGCTTTACTGAACCCAAATTTTAAATAATAAAAATTAGTACTCAAAAAGCTAAACTAACAAAATAAATGTGTTACTAGCAGAATCAGCATAAATGGTAGTAAAATTTATTAAAGTCATTTTCGGGACTTAAGTTCCGTATCAACTAAGTTTTGGTCCCTTACTAATTGATCTGGCTAAACTTTCTCTGGGCTCATTAGTGTCATCCATCTCAAAAATCGACCTAGTCTGTAGTAATGCCATATAAGTTTTTTCAAATAACACAAGCGTATTCATTTAGAAACGAAAGTTTGGCTTAACTTTTCATCGTAGTGTAACAAGAAAATCCATATTTATACTCCTTTAGGGTGTGGAATTAAGTCAGTATTTAATCTGTTGATTGAAAGTGAGGACTTGACATATATATGTTGCACAGTTATAGCACATCCTACTTTTCATATAAAGCCTTACTAACTTCAGAGCTTAAAAGCAAACTAGATTCCTGCCGAAACTCCTTTTATGTATTCTAGCCCTGAGACTAGCCTCCCAAAACATAAAATACCACCCATCGAGGTAGGTGATGGTTACGAATACGTAATACATGTATCAGCCACCTCATTTGACGAAGATCTATTACTATACCGACCGATTTATCGTCGTTATCTAGTACTGTGCATCTAAACCCAACACTGATTACTCGACTGTCCCAACATTCACGAGCAATGCTACAAAGCCATCATCTATGATTGAATACAAAACACATACGAATATCCTTATTTTAATAGCCACATTTCACAGCCATAAAGATGGTTGGTGGGTAGAAATCTCACCTCCAACGCAGGTGATGCAAGTTAACAAAAGCCAACTGGACTTTCTGAATTGGTGCCGAGACTTTTTCAGATATCAACTCACTAGGGTCGATGAGACTTCTAAGATGAGTGAAACGTTACTCCCTCAGTAATATCTGTTTATGCGAGCCTTCAGTAGTAATCTACTTAACACAAATCTGTCACTACCCATATAATTCCAAGTTCCTTTTGTGTAAGGTCCAGTTTTATCAACTAGTAAATACGATATATACTGTAGACGCTTTTTTTCCAAATATCCTCTATACCTTGTCCATAAGTTGCCCTGATAACTGTGATTACTATAATTTCTATCGACGTATAGTTTTCCGAATGCAATATGAGGTGTTGATTACAGTTTATTTCAGCGGACATCAAGCCAAGTGATCAACAGGCACACATTACAAGAGATGAGCTCACAAGTTAACCAATCAATAGATTTTAACAAGCAATATAGGACAGAAAGTCATAAGTCATCATTCTTTCTAAGCAGTTAATCGATTAAGAGAAATATATGCATCGGTTGTCGTATAAACGAAATAGTACATGTTCATGCAAGCATGAATATATATAGAAGAGACAGATGACACCATTAGTCTATCTAATAACTAGAATAAGAGGCTTAGTAGATTTAAACATGCACAAATTCAAGTTGAGGTAGGTTTGCTATGTATATATTGTCGAGTGTCGATTTATTTTTACCAGTATATTTGGACATCATGTTTCAACTGAGATATGTAGCTCTAATCTCTAGTCGTGTTAAAATCTGTTGACCAGGAAATTCAGTGAGGATTTTTCGATAGATTTCAGATTAAAGCGTCGCGTTACTTAGTGTCAGGAGCTCAATTAGAGTAATGAATCTCGTCTATGAAGAAAGAAAAAAGCAGTTGTTATTCAGAGCGATAATCGCTAAAAATATCACTATTTATTTTATTCCATTTTTTTATAGGAACCCATACTGTTCATAATACGAAAGCAGCAACGTTTATCTCCGACTCAAGTTACCCCTTTGGCTTATTATTATGTGATTAATGGGACAGTACTTCAAGCACCAGATCTTTCTACCCTTCTAAACTCTCGTTTATTGACAACGATTGTAGGGTTGAAGAAAGTGATCCAGGTAGTATTCCAGTTTTGGTATCATTAACCTTATTCCCATGATTTTATTTTAAATTTGGAAATATTATCTGTTTATGTGTATAAGGTCAAAAAGAATCCTGAATCTAACAAAACTTCCAACAGATTGACCGAGTTTTCTTCCATTATATCAAAGTTTGATCGTTATTGGGTTTTCTGTACAGAAGCTGCACCTAGCAAAGAGTATTTATCACAGTAAAATATGTCACCTAGTTATTCAAATGCTATTGTCCTCCAACTTTAATATGGAAAACTGCGGTATAAGTTTTGATCCATTATAACTAACAAGCATTCTTCGATGTGATCCTTTATTTGGATGAAGTTTTCTTAACCTTGTCCACATGACCTCAACGTTGTTTGTATATATTCTCGTATAAAGAGAGGACAAAACGTGAACATCCAGAGCTTTGACCTGGTCGGTGGGTAAGGAGGATTCACCTAGGGTAGTTGGAAAATCCTGATGAGACAAATGGCTCGTGAACCTATCCTTGTCGCTGGCTGGTTGGTAAGACTGCATCTCACGTTACTCCACTGCCTTGTAGATTAGAACTGTAGATCAAAGACTCGGGAAGTGGCCTCCTAAAAAAGCACATGCTTCGGTATGGGCACTTGCGAAGTATTCAACCCTATTCACAAACTCAATAATTTTTGTGGCATATAAACATATTGCCGCCCTTTTATTAATACTTATGTGCTTAAGTAAACAGAATTATTGTATGAGGATCCACAAAGTGTGGTTTGTGGGTCCGACGGTTGTTTCCAAATCATGGGAAGCATTTTTAAGACCTCTTGTCATGTGCGTGGATTGTAATCCTCTGGTTCAACGTAATTCTTAATTTTCGGCACAGGAAATGCCACTCCATCTGGATGACCTCTTTTATTTTTCTGATTGAACTAAATGATGTATTTTAAAATCGTGGATGTGCAAATATATCTCTAAATGTAATAGTAATAGTTGCATATGATATTCTATTTTCACAAGTCTATTAGTTGTACACAAGCTTGGAGTAAGATACTTTTTGAAGGTTTTATGTTATCAAATATTAACTGTCATATCACTTCATTCAACTAGAATCAGAGAAATAAATGAGGCAAATCGGAATGAAATGGTTGTTATTTTGTTAGTTAATTTATGGAGTTATATTACTTTTTTACAAGTAATTTTCCTTTCTATTTAATTCGACTCAACAATCACATCTGTCTAGTCTCAAAATCGATATGCTGGTGTGTTGTGAGAGGAAATAAAGCCCTTTTGACCCTAGTAATAAATACATTCGTTGACTTTTTCGTGGAGCTTATCCTTTAACTACTTTATCTTTGTTGACCAACCGAACATGATTTTGGATCTTTGGCATCTGTTCAAAGACGTTGGTATGTAATCTTAAAGTAGTAACGCTGATTGAGGGAACAATCAAATTTTTAAAAGATACAAAATGCTCTGAACTGGTATAATTTACTTATTAGTAGTCATAACATTTGTGCTTTTGTAGACATTGGGTCCTTGTGCTCGATATCATCCTTCAGATGGTTCCTACTCGTGGGACGATCCTAATGTTTTACTCGGATATAGTAAAGAACCAGACCAAAATTACACAAAATCCCCATCTAGCTCAAATACTGAAAAAGAGCTATATAAAAATGCGAATTTCTTTCAAGTCCAAAGAACAGATACCTTACTCGCTGATTGGATTAATCGTTTTCCTGTCCCGTCTACAAGTTTTGTTCAAAATCTAGCTAATTCAGGACAGATATCATCCGTACCGACAGTTACTTCTGCAACTAATGCAAGTGGAGTTGTTTCTCTTACACCATCTCAAAGCGTAAGATATTTTCAACGATACACTTACATAACTAATGTAATCATTCAATGTATATTTATTCACCTTATGAAACCCATGTACTGTTAAAGCCAAACTTTACTAAAGTATTATGAATGATCATAGTTCAAACTATGAACTTATCTTAAATAGGCCACCACAAAACTAGAAAGCAAATAATAACGATTTCGTCCTGTAGTGTAACTTGATACAGTACGCGTCTATAGCTCTGTTACAAGGGCTTGAAACTAGGACCTTTGGCATAGCAGAAAAACCCCTAGTGGTTTATACTTCTAAAGAGTCCGATGCAAGGAAAAATTCACTCTCCAGTGCTTTCTGGTTTTGAAACAGTTTATTTAAGAAAAGTTCTGAAATCTCTACAGGCCCTCATATCACAATTGATGCTTGAACTACTGTACGCTTCTGGAGCCAAGCGGAAACAGACGAAAGTTTCCTGGTATCCGCGTTCATCATCCAACTTCCCCATCCTTATTTAACTTTGTTATAAATATTCTTTTGGTGATAGCACTCTCATCGTTTGAATTTTCAAGGATTCGTCTGTAAAGAAGTTCACATACACAGATGTCCTAGTTCCACCTAATGAAGATGCTGAATAGAACAGTCGTTTGATTACTTTGAGCAACACTGAAAGCGTGTTTGGGATGCATTTCTCTTCTTTTAAATACGAAATATTTCTTCAAGATTAATCTAAATTAATACTTTAAATAGTAAATGAGTTAATCACTTATCTTAGAAGTCTCATCGACCCTAGTGAGTTGATATCTGAAAAAGTCTCGGCACCAATTCAGAAAGTCCAGTTGGCTTTTGTTAACTTGCATCACCTGCGTTGGAGGTGAGATTTCTACCCACCAACCATCTTTATGGCTGTGAAACGTAGCTATTAAAATAGAGGATACCCGTATGTGTTTTGTATTCGATCATAGATGATGGCTTTGTAGCATTGCTCGTGAATGTTGGGACAGTCGAGTAATCAGTGTTGGGTTTAGATGCACAGTACTAGATAACGACGATAAATCGGTCGGTATAGTAATAGATCTTCGTCAAATGAGGTGGCTGATACATGTATTACGTATTCGTAACAATCACCTACCTCGATGGGTGGTATTTTATGTTCTGGGAAGTTGTTAGTAAAAGTGGAGCAGCCAAACCGAAACACGACGTCAGTTCGTGAAGCCACCGACAGTCGGATTAAGCTGTATGGGCAGATACAGCCTACCTGGTTGGTGTTAAAACGATTATTATTAACAGTTGTTGGGTCTTTTGGTGGCATGATTATATTTTTATGCAAAGTGAATATGCAGTTACAAACGTCCGTCCATTATTAGACACTTCATGTCTTTTTAAATCAACCAAAATGTATTCGTTGGAAATTTTTTTATTCGATAACATATCTTTATTTGTAACTTTCAATCTCATAGGCATCTACTGGAAAAGAAGAGAATGTTCAGACGAATTGTAATTCTCCAGCTAAATTGCCCACAAAGTTGCCTACACTACCCGGTGTTTCTGTAGTCCCTGGACCATCACCAAGTACTTCGACCCAACCATCACTGCTTGTAGATAGAAAACCTCGTGTTTAGCTATAATTTGTTTCAATGTTACTATCAAAACTTTCACAAATATGTATGCTTTGGTTTAGCGTTATTTGAACTCCCATCAAATTATTCAGCTATCCGAAGTTTGTGTACACTGAATTCATTTTTACTTACTAATACTATGATAACATTATTAACTCTGCTCGTTTATATGAATATGAATCTTTTTCTACTGAAGTCTTTTTTTATACACTTTTTTGGATATTCGGATTTTATCACTAACTACTTTTGAACAACTAACACTATGATTCTTTTACGCTACTGCAATTGTTGTCTCTACTAACTTCTTGAAGTCCGGTAACAATAAAATTGTAAATCTGTAATCGTTTGAAAATATATTTGTTCATAAGTATTTGGTAACTTTTAATACTCATTTGGTCGGACTATAAAGGTTCGAATATTACTTCATTTCATAAACAGAGTTTAGGTAGTTGCGTGAATCACATTTGGTAAAATAAGCTTAGCTATGTAAAACTTTGCTATTTAGTTGTGCTACTTAATTTTAGTGAGTAGTAAGATTATATTCACTGCTTTTCATATGTGTCGTACATAAAAATTCCTTACTAATAAATCGTGTGGTTAACCGTAATTGAGTCGGTCTCTTTGTATGACTACCCTCAAACAGAAAATTTTAGATGGTTAAATTGGAATTTCGTAACCACTTTGTTTGATTTCGGTAGACATTATTTCAAGTGAACATATTGTTTTATGCTAACACTTTCTCAGTCTTTTTGAATTAATTTTTTAACGTCATGATTTTATTTTGGCATATTAAGAGTTTGTGAAGCAACATCTTAATGGATATTTGTTATCATTACTAAAAATTCTTACAGTGTTTTACCATCGATATCACTTCTGTGGTGGTGTTTCGTTCTCTGAGCTGAATATTTTTCAGATCAATCAATAGCAACGTAGAACTTCGTACGTACGTACGTACATCAGTTTAAGTTGCCATACCACATTAGCACAGAGATGCAATGGTCATTTCGAATCCCATAGTAGTAGAGGTAGTAAAGTTATTAGCCGTGATCGGAGAGATTAGGGTTCGAAGATATTTATTATTCAAGAAGAATCTAGTAAAATTAACTTAAAAAGAAAAAGACTAAGTGATAAGGAAGTAAGAAGTTTAGGACTTGAGAGAACACAAAGAGTGAATGCACCTGCGCCATTGCAAACGGTTTTGGGCCATGTCATTCAGGGTCTCTAACCATCTATTACTAGCATCTCGCGGACCCCAACCTGTATGTCATTCTTAGGTGAACCCCATTTGTGCGATGATGGTGATTAAAATCCCAATACAGTTTATTTTAGATGGATTTATTTCATACATTCGGTAAGCAAACAGGTTATTAAGAGAAGCCTAAACGCGAAGTGAACTGGAGGAGGCGAGTGGGCCAACTCAATCGATGAGGCATGACTAAGTATTTATTGTCAGACAAAAATAAGCTAGACTTGTAATAAGCGATGTACCCAATTCACATACGCACTCAAGTAAAAACAACCAAGGTTCTTACCGTACAAATGACAATGCCAAAAGACGTGAATAACTCAAGAAGAATGTATTAATTAATTTGTCTAAAGGCTGGGATAAGCCCTATGGGCTCGACACACCACAAGTATATTACTATCTGCTGTGTAATTCAGTTGTTTGTTGGTAAGACTACGTTGTTTTGTATTATAAAGGCGATGGACTGTAATTTATACCACCAAGCTAACAATTACATCCTCTCTCAGTCGCCTTACAGTTTGAAACCAACTTCATTCATTTGTTACCAAACAACTGAATACCAGCTATCTTGTAAATTCAGTGCATAAAGGTTGCTTTTGCACTGTAAAATGATATTAGTTTTTCTGTGAAAAGATGAATGAAAGATTCTTCGTATATTTTTGTAAGGTCTTCGTACAAAAAATTGATATACTCACAGAAGTTGATCATTCTGATCGGATAAATCATAGTTTGGTTTAATTGTTTTCAAGTCTCATCAACTACATTTCTTGGCGTTTTGAGCTATTTCATATAACAAGTATTCCCTCTTCAAAAGTATATTAGGTGCTCCTGATAATTACTAGGTTTCAACCTAAGCTAGTGGCAACTAGCAAGGACAAGTTACTATTGTTCGATGAGTGAAGATTTAGTAAAATATTTAAAACTAAAAGGTGACATGTTAGAACTTCATTGAAATTAGTTAATCTGATCTATGGTTCTGCACGGAACTCAGATGAACTAAACGGAAATCGAGTATTCAATTTGTCATGAATCCTAAATAATATCATATTGTCGAGTTCTTAATGTTGACATAACTTTATTGTTATGTCAACTAGACTTAATGATTCGATATCATGTTGCACTTTGTCTAAAATTATACAACTTTAGGCTTTTGACATGAATCCCTTAAATTTCATGCCTGTTCACGGTCAAAGTGTGCTTCGAATTGTGTGGTTCTCCGTCGGATTCAATAGTTATAACAAAATACATCAGAAAGTTGACTCATTTATTTAAATGATCATTACATTATGGAGCCTTCTTTGGCTTGCTAGCCTTCTCCCCTTCGCTTCATCCATTCATTCGCCACTTCGCTTGCATGACGATTTTATCTTTGAGTGCTTGTTGTCTGATGATCCATTTTGTGATGTGCCAAAATAAACGTATTGAACACTTCGAGTTCACCTGATTTTTTAAACCGTCAGACGCTATTTAGTAACGATTATCTGGACCAGCTAATTACGAAGCCTAAGAACACGTTGGATACCAACCGTCACGAAACTGCACACTAATTGTAGAATACTATATATCTAGGTATTAAGTAAATTTTGTAAACATTTATTCAGTTAGTTATTTTTTAAGTAATTTTGTATCACAAATGGGCATCGTTTGATAGGTCGATGAAAAACCCCACATATCACTAGAAAGTTACTCTGTTCTGATTTGACGATTCTTTTTTAGAAGTAATCATCAAGAAATATATATGAAATGAAACTGATGTTTCCCTGTTAGCATATTAATATTGAGCCACGTGGTTGGAATTCAGTACTCTACACTTTAAACTGACATTTATTCGTATAAAATAGCTTATTTTCCACCAATCTGACTCTAAATATCATCTAAATCTTTATATTGTGAATAGTTAGCAATTCACAGACGGTTATGATTATTACTAATAATCTAATGATTTCCAGGGGAAAATGAAATCAGTTTACATCCATTTTTTTATTATGATAAATTACCAGTGTCTCTATTGCTCCATAAGTTTTCAATACTTTACCGACAGATATCGTTTCGTGTGATAACTTAAATTCAAGTAAAAAAATAGAGTTCTCTTATATTATTATGTCCAACTTTCTTCTTTACTCTGATTAAATCAATTTTCAATGCCTACATAATCAATCATCACTGCTTTCATTTGCTATTTGTATTAAAAATCCTATTGGTCAATGTAGATTCCCTATCTCATGGCTTATTTATTATTTTCAATGAACAAGATGTGGTTAAATAAATCAAAAACATAAAAATAAAAAAGTGAAAATAAAACTTTTAAAGTTCACTTATAAAATGTGACTAGTTGACCTTAGATAACAAACTATCATCACCTTCATTTCATTAAACAGACTGTGATTTACTTTTGTGAGAAATTTTTGAAGATGCCAATAGTTTTGTTGATTCGAATTAAAAAGAAAATATGAAAGAAAGAAAAAAAATCAACTGAATAGTATAAAAAGTAAGATGAATGAGTACAAAATATACACAGTTGTATATTGATCATCATTGCCCATAAGTTTATCAGTGTCTTTAATCTTCTAACATTTTATATCAATGTAATATTATTTTATTTTATTTTTTATCCCATCTGTTCTTTCAAATCAGAGCCATACATTCATTTTGTTGTATTATATACTATGCAAACTTATATGACAATGTTAACACTTGTAGATTTATCGTAACAATACACATGTGTCACGACAAGACCAAAATTACTTCATAAAATGAAATGAGAATAACAGTAAAATCTATTAATCAGATATAATGAACAGATGTAATACAACACACCAAAACTCTGTAATATTGAATATGAAAGAGAAAATGAGCATATTGATAATGCAGTTCGATAAGAAGATATATCTATATGAGTTAGTAAGGAAAAGTTTGAAATCAGTTAGGATAAGAGTAGCATAATAACTTCTAACTGTGAAAAGAAATCAGTAATAGTGTAGGATTTCAAAATGAGGTTTGGACTAAAGAATAACAACTGTCTAGGGTAGTTTAGATATGCGCCTTGCCCAGTTTAAAACCAAAACAAGTGATCTGGGTAAATGACAGTTCTTATATTCATCATAAATATAAATTTACATTATTACCTAAACAAATATTACGACTCAGTTATTCCCTACATAATTGTTCAATTAATCAAATCCACAGCAATAAATAAATGATATTCTATCTCTCCTGGATAGATCAGATTCGTTCGACAGATAATATTTGGTTGCTTTATAACACAGAGTGTTTCCTATTCTGGAAGGATGCTTCACTTCACAGTCAAAATGCCTAATTCCAGTCAATGAAACCGACACAACCAAAAGAGGAACAAATCAAAATAGCTGTCGCCATGACTAAGCATCAGCTTAAAACAACATAAATGCAGTTCAGAAGGAAACATAGAAACTCAATGAAGGCAAAAGAAATAGAAACTATAATAAAATACAAATATTATCATCTCAAATGGAATCGAACAGACTAACAAAATGTACAACTGAAAGAATTAATAAGGACAAATTACGAATGTATACATGGAGGGATTTTCACAAACAAAGCCTTCAAAAATGGATCTTACAATTAGTTTTCAAAATAGTTGATTACAGCATCAAAATTAATGGTGATATAAAGTATTTAACATCATGTATTATTTCGTTACTCTTGTTTCTTAAGTTGTGAAGACGTTTAAACTTCCAAACGAAATCTACTATGTTGAGAACAAGATATCTGATCCATTCAATAAGTCCGTCAACATTTTCCATGAGTTGTAAAATTAAGAAATCAGTTAATGATTCATTCTTTTTGATCATGGTGATCTGTCTGTTTGAACTTAGTACAATAGTGGATGGTGCGTTGGTGCTTGAAGTGATAAAAACTGGGTTCAAATCTCAGTGTAGACATCAACAATACGATGTAAGTACATTCAGGTGACGAGATACAGGTTCTCGATTTCATTCTTAACAAAATACTAATTATAATAAACCTAAAGACTAAAAGCTAAATCGAGGTATTTTTCTCAAGCTGTATATTTATTTAACAATACAGGCTAACTATTCAGAGTCTCGAATGTCAACAAGCTGAAAATACAAGTCCTTATTAATAA